TTCTCTCTCCCTCTCTCCCTCTCCCTCTCCCTCCCCTCTCTCTCTTCTTCTTGTGTATAGATAAAAATGTGACCAGCCAGCTTCCTGCCACCATTCCATTCCTTCCTAGCCATTGTAGACTTTATCCCTCTAAAATCATAAGCCAAAATAGGTTCTTTTCTCCTTAACTTGCTTTGGGTGTTTGTATTTTATCACAGCAACAGAAAAGTTACTAATAGATGAACGGAAAGGAATAATTCCATATTTTACCATCTTTCGACAGCACCTTCTCAATGAAGGTACTCATATTTTTACATTGTACAGAGTCCCACAAATCACATAGCTGGTCATGGTAGCCTGTGTTCAAATGTTGATGCTTTCAAGAGATGCAAATGAAGGTTGTTTCGGAGGTCTACAAACTGGACTGCATTAAAATTAACTCAAGTCTTAGACTGATTTCATGTGACCCCCCGCCATGTCTCCACTCCTGTTTGAACAAGCATTCCCTACTACCTCCTAATGATTTGTTTTCCTCACTTGTGCCACCTTCCAGATGGCCTGAGCCCAGCTCCCCTCCACAGCAAACAACCCAGAGCATACCTAAGGGTCCTTGATGTGGCCATGGGTGTTAGAGTGGACTGCCCACTCAGCTTTGTGCCTCTGACTGATGTTTGTAACTAAACCAGCTAGCTTCCCTCTTCTGAATACTTCAAAGCAAGAGGCAGCTATTAGTACTTGCTGCCCTTAACATTCTACCCCCAAACCTTTCAATCATGCCTTAAGAATCAAAGAGCCTTCCAGCCATGCTAGAATCTTCTTCAGCAGCAGCTCCAGAGAGAGAGCAGAGGAATACATCTTACAGTTCAACAGGAAGCCATTTACCCTCCTCAAGATACACCAAGTCTCTGTGTGCATTATGGAGTCATTGTTACTTGGCTTATGAGAGGAAAGGAGTTGCTATCCAAATTTCCTATTAGGCTCGTAATGTGCAATTCTCTACATCTTAAAATTTCCTTGTTTTCTCTTTTCTTTATATATCTTGAATATTGGTAATTCATAAGATGGCTTTGAGCCTTTTCATCAAATCTTATGGGACAGTATCCAACACTCCCTGAGAATGTGGTGAAGCTTAACTTCAACATAGTGTGAAGTGAAAAGCTGGGGTGGGGATACCCCCAGGAGAAATTCCCTGATACCTAGGCCATGTTAGGCTGTCACAATTAGGGTTTCAGCACTTCTGACATCTGGTGGGTAGAGGTTAGGGATGCTGCTCAGCATTCTGCAATGCACAGCACAACCTTCCACAGAAAAAGCTAGCTGAACCAACATGTGCCAAGAGGACAAAGGTTATGAAACCCTGCTTAAGGGCTGGGGTGTAGCTCAATGATAGAGTGCTTTCCTGGCATGCTGGAGGCACTGGGTTTGGTTCCTAGCACCAAGGGAACCTGACAGAACCACACTCAAAAGCTGGGCTGCTTATCTTAAATTCATCATTCACTTCCAATGAGTTGATGAACTTTTGCTTATAATTTACCCTCTTGGTGTCCGTTTCCTCACATGCAGAAAAACAGCTACAAATCTGCCTCACAGATTTTTGTGTGTATTAATATGCTTCAGGATAAATTTTAAAAAGAGCCTGGAAAATGCTAAGTGATCAGCAAATATTAAGTACTATTATTTTCTCCAATTCCATGGCTATAACTGAAATTTCAAGGGAAAAAAATCTCATTTGGTACACTCTTATGTCATCTCACTAAAGGTTATATACATTTTTTTAAAAATAAGTAACATTGGCTGGGCATGGTGGCATACCTCTTTCTTTAATCCCAGAACTTGGGAGACAGAGGCAGAAGAATCTCTGAGAGATTGGGGCCAGCCTGGTCTATATAGTGAGTTCTAGGACAGCCAGGGCTACACGGAGACCCTGTCTCAAAAAACTAAACCAAAACCAAAATGAACAAACAAAAAATACTGTATGATTTTCTCTTTCAGGATTCTTTCTTTTTGGTATATTCAGAAGCAGTTTGTTTATATAATGTTTCTCTTTCATCCCCTTCAAAGTTTAAACAATCTCATTTATAGACCTATCAATTCTTGAGTACTACCATTTTGAGTAGTTGGTTATTTTTTGTTCAAAATATATTTTTAAAAGACTTATTTTCATGTGCGTATGTGTGTGGCTGCATGAGTTTATGTGTACCACATGTGTGCAGGAATGCCCAGAGGTCAGAAGAAGGTGCTAAATTCCCTAGGACTGGAATTACAGGGGGTTGTGAACCGTCTGGTTTGGGTTCTGGGAGGTAAACCTGGGTCCTCTGCAAGAGCAGTATGGACTCTTAACCTCTGGAGCCATCTCGCCAACCCCATTTCACAATATTTTTTTCCTTCCTTCCTTTCTTCCTTCCTCCCTTCCTTCCTCCCTCCCTCCCTCCCTCCCTTCTTTTTTCTTTCTCTCCCTGACTCCCTGACTTCCTTCCTTCCTTTCTTCCTTCCTTCCTTTTTTCCTTCCTCTTCTCAAAGCTTATTCTTTCCCTTCCTTCCTTCCTTCCTTCCTTCCTTCCTTCCTTCCTTCCTTTCTTTCTCTTTCTTTCTTTCTTTCTTTCTTTCTTTCTTTCTTTCTTTCTTTCTTTCTTTCTTTCTTTCTTTCTTTCTTTCTTTCTTTCTTTCTGATACAAGGTCTCCCTGTAGCCCCAGTTGCCCTGGAACTTGCTATGTACACCAGGCTGGCCTTGATTTCACAGCAATTCCCCTCTTTCTTTGCCTTCCAAGTGCTGGGATTAAAGGTGTGGGCCACCATGCCTGCCTCAGAATTATTTTTAATAGAAAAACTAATTTGCTATCCTAATACTGCATTCTCTTGTCTACATTGTTAGGAAACATTTTCTTTTTAAAAAATGTTTTGTTTTGTTTTTTTATTTTATGTGTATAAGTGTATTGTCTGCATAAGTGCACCCCAGTTGTGCAATGCCTGTGGAGGTCAGAAGAGGGCACTGGATCCCCTGGAACTGGAGTTGCTAGCCATCATGTGTGTACTGGGAACCCAACCTGGGTCCTCTGCATTAATGCTCTTAACCACTGAGTCATCTCTCTAGCCCCAGAAACATTTTCTATATCATCTTGTTTACCTCTTCACAAGCACTGTGAAGTTGAACATAGAGCACTTCTGCAAGTGTATATCTTATTTTCATAAGAATCAAGAGTAAGTCTATCTGTTTGCTAACAGATAACATGACAATAACAAAACATCTATGTAAGGAAATAGTGGAAAATCCTGAAGCATATTTTCACTTACTGTTTTGAGCTCATTGAGAATGGGAGGCTGTAGCATCATTGAATAAAAATGTGTCCTGCAGCCTAACTGACTTTGCTACAGGCACAGGCTGTACTGTAAGCAGGAAAGAAAACAGGAATGCAAACATTCAGGAAGCAAACAGGAGGAACAACTACTTAGAGGTCTCAAAATAGAAGTAAGCATATTTCCTGTCCCCAATAGATTTAGACAATTATATGAATATGAAAATATGAT